TTAGGGATCTAAAGGCAGATGGCGCCTGGGATTATTTCAAGTTGAAGTTGCATGAGCTGTCCGAGGCCTGTATCCCGAGAAAGGGAAAACGGTTAGTAGGCAGGAGATTTAGACCTAGCTGGATGACCGAGCGTCTCAAAGGGGCGATTAAGAAAAAACAGAAAGCGTACAAAGAATGGAAGAGGGGAGGGATCAGCAAGGAAACCTACCTTATTGAGGTCAGAGCATGTAGGGATGCAGTGAGAAAGGCCAAAAGCCGTGTAGAGTTGGACCTTGCGAGGGGAATTAAAACCAATAGTAAGAGGTTTTACAGCCATATAAATAGGAAGAAAACAAAGAAAGAGGAAGTGGGACCACTGAAGAATGTAGATGGAGTGGAGATTAAGGATAATCTAGGCATGGCACAATATCTAAATGAATATTTTGCATCGGTCTTTAATAAGGCTAATGAAGGGCTTAGGAATAGAGGCAGCAGGACAGAGGGGAATAAAGGAGGGGGGGTTGACATTACCGTATCAGAGGTGGAAGCCAAACTTGAACAGCTAAACGGGACTAAATTGGGCGGACCGGATGATCTTCATCCTAGAATTTTGAAGGAACTGGCGCGAGAAATTGCAAGCCCCTTGGCGACAATTTTTAATGAATCTGTAAACTCGGGGGTGGTACCGTTGGACTGGAAAATAGCTAATGTGGTTCCTATTTTTAAGAAAGGGGAAAAAAGTGATCCGGGTAACTACAGGCCTGTTAGTTTAACATCTGTAGTATGCAAGGTCTTGGAAAAAATTTTGAAGGAGAAAGTAGTTAAGGACCTTGAGGTGAATGGCAATTGGGACAAATTACAACATGGGTTTACGAAAGGCAGATCGTGCCAAACCAACCTGATCTCCTTCTTTGAGAAAGTAACAGACTTTCTAGATAAAGGAAATGCGGTGGATCTAATATACCTCGATTTTAGTAAAGCGTTTGATACGGTACCGCATGAGGAATTATTGGTTAAATTGGAAAAGATGGGGATCGATATGAAAATCCAGAGGTGGATAAAGAACTGGTTAAAGGGGAGACTGCAGCGGGTAGTACTGAAAGGTGAACTGTCAGGTTGGAAGGAGGTCACCAGTGGGGTTCCTCAAGGTTCGGTTTTGGGTCCAATTTTATTTAATCTATTTATTACTGACCTCGGAACCGAATGTAGGAGTGGGCTGATAAAGTTTGCGGATGACACAAAGTTGGGAGGTATTGTCAATTCGGAGAAGGATCGGGATATCCTGCAGGGAGACTTGGATGACCTTGTAAATTGGAGTAATAGTAATAGGATGAAATTTAATAGTGAGAAGTGTAAGGTGATGCATTTAGGGATGACTAACAAGAATTTTAGTTACAAGCTGGGGACGCATCGGTTAGAAGTGACGGAGGAGGAGAAGGACCTCGGAGTCCTGGTTGATCGCAGGATGACTATGAGTAGGCAATGTGACGTGGCTGTGAAAAAAGCTAATGTGGTCTTGGGATGCATTAGGCGAGGTATTTCTAGTAGGGACAAGGAGGTGCTGCTTCCGTTATACAAGGCACTGGTGAGACCTCATTTGGAGTACTGTGTGCAGTTCTGGTCTCCTATGTTTAAAAAGGATGAACTCAAACTGGAACGGGTACAGAGAAGGGCCACTAGGATGATCCGAGGAATGGAAAACCTTTCGTATGAAAGGAGACTCGAGGAGCTCGGTTTGTTTAGCATAACCAAAAGAAGGCTGAGGGGGGATATGATTGCTCTCTTTAAATATATCAGAGGGATAAATACCAGGGAGGGAGAGGAATTATTTCAGCTAAGTACTAATGTGGACACGAGAACAAATGGATATAAACTGGCTGTGGGGAAGTTTAGGCTTGAAATTAGACGAAGGTTTCTAACCATCAGAGGGGTGAAATTTTGGAACAGCCTTCCGAGGGAAACAGTGGGGGCGAAAGACCTCTCTGGCTTTAAGATTAGGCTAGATAAGTTTATGGAGGGAATGGTTTGATGGGATAACGTGATTTTAGTCAATTAGGCAATAACGTGCCATCGCTGGTAAAATGAGGGTCCGGCTGGAGAATCTTGCCTGTATGCTTGGGGTTCTACTGATCACCATATTTGGGGTCGGGAAGGAATTTTCCTCCAGGGTAGATTGGCAGAGGCCCTGGAGGTTTTTCGCCTTCCTCCGCAGCATGGGGCAGGGGGTCCCAAGCTGGAGGATTCTCTGCGACTTGAAGTCTTTAAATCACGATCTGGAGACTTCAACAGCTGAGTTAAGGGATAGTGGGTGGGTCAGCTTTTGTGGACTGCATCATGCGGGAGGTCAGACTAGATGACCATAATGGTCCCTTCTGACCTTAAAATCTGTGAGTCTATGAGTCTATGATTCCTACCACACAAGAGTGTTGAGAACTTTCTCTTCCAGTGCCATGAATCCAACCCAGGAGTCTTAGGACTTCCTTTGCTTCACAAGCCAGTCAAAAGCCACTTCTTTCCATGTATTCCAAATACCCTTCTTGTAGCACCCTCAGGCTATTCAGCACAGGAGGTTATTTCCAAACCTGTTGAGTTTCCATGGCTCAAAAAACCCCACATAAACAGTGGAAACTCTCCATGAATTTATTAATGACTCCCCTTCAGACAGAATCCCCTGATCTCCAAAGCACAAACTCTCTTGATTCTGTCCAGTAGAGCTAAAGGGGATTTCACAGATTCTTTGATCCTAGCTCCAGCCTTAGCACAGGGGGCAAATATAATATAAGCGGATGTTTTCTGCAGCTGTTTCTTTATGGCTCTAGATCCCCTTCCCCTGCCTGTCAGGAAAGCAAAGATCAGCTTTGAGATCACAGACACGATCGTTTGCAGACAGACGACTCTGGGATGACAGACACAGCAGCTTGTAGGAGGTAACACCAGGATATGCATCATTATTTTAGGGGGAGATGCATAGAGACCATGCTAACAAGGAAGGCGAGATGTACTTGCAGAGATAACATTTTTTAATGAAAGATCTTTTTTTCTAGGTTTATAGGTATTTGCTGGGGATTTCAGAAGAGCTTAAGTCAGTTAGGAAGATAACAGGCCACAGATCCATTACTACCATCACTGTCTGAGACCTTCATGTGACTAGTTCAGTGTCACTCATCTTCTCCCATGGCAAGGGCTCTAGGTTGCTAAGACCTGAAATGCATTTTTCTCTGGAGCAGGTTGGAGATTGGAAGTGGACCGGAGAAGTTTCCAGATTTGCAGATAAAATCAGAGCGAAATTCCCACCGTGGATTTCTTTCAATTAGAATCTTTTATGCTTTTAAGCTTTTGAATAATATTAGACTGGAATTTTCTCAGAAGGCCCATTTCAGAATTTAACATGGAGTCATACATTCTAAGACCAGAAGAGGCCAGATAATTCCCCCAGGATAATTCCTAAAGCAGGCTCTTTTTTTTCCTAAAAGTTCTATCTTGATTTTAAAACTGTCAGTGATGGAGAATCCACCACAACCTTGGTAAGTTGTTCCAATGCAGTTGGGCACCTAACTCCCTGAAAGTTGAGAGCAGCTCCCATTTACACTAAGATCCTAAAATGCTTAAAGGTGACTTACTTCACAACAGATCAAGGTGTAGCCCATGCTGAACTAATGAGGCACCTCTCTACTGGCTAGAGCACATTCAGAGTACATCTGCTACAGGCTTTTAACTAATGGCTCTGGTCTTTTATCTCAGCCAGTACACACTGATGTGTTTCTATTGAAATTTCCACAGCAGCCTCTGGAGTCTCTGATGTCTAGATGAGGCAATGCCCCTACCTTCATTCCTTTCCACCCAAGTTCTCCACCTAATTACTTGCCATGACCCCAATCATCACGGTGCCCATGTTCCTGACAATCCTTAATAGATTAACCTCCCCAGACTCCTGAAATGTAGGGAAACTATTGTTAATCTCAATTAAGAGAGAAGGAGCAGAGGCAGGGATTGTCAAAGGACCTGAGGAGTTTAAGCATCCAGCTCCCAACAGTGATCAGCAGAGGTAGATACCTAACCTTCTTCTGCCTTGAAAATCCCAGACTGAGAGGAGGTGTCAGTTATCAGTAGTCACAGAAGTTGTCTGTGGCAGAGCAGAAACTTAACCCAGCTCTCAAGCATCTAGTGCTCTACCTTCAAAGCCATACTCTCCAACTATTCACACCCCAACCTGAAACCATACTTTATGGTCAAGGTTTTTAAAGCCGATTAACATCCTTTTGCAAGACATATCTACAGACTGCAGATGGGAAAATCTGTTTTGGGGGGCTTTTTTAACCCAATGTTTCAATTTTTCATCTGAAACTGTCAATCAAAATTAAGTTTTTCCTTTCATTTAAAGCAACATTTTCTTTTGAAAAGAATATCACTATAAAAAAATGGTTGGTTGGAATCAAAATATTTAATGGGAAAATTGTTTTTTTTTTCAATTATGTCTTTTCACTTTTTCATGAGAAATGTTCAAAAGAAAATGAAGCTTTTCATTTCACTTGGATACAAAATTTTCACTTCTTACTCTTTGCATGATAAATTGTGAGAGAAAGGCAAACTTTCTCCCACTTTTCGTACTTTCCTTTCCACAATTTTAGGGTGGAAAAGTGGGATAAAGTTTTTTTTAAAAGAAGTAAAAAAAGAAAGAGACTGAAAATCCAAAGCCTAAACATTGGGGGGAAAAAATGGGAGGTCTAGAGCATCAAAGTTGCAGATGGATGAATGAACACTGTAAGGAACAGGGACACTTTTGTGGAGCAAACCACTCCCTTTCATTCCTAGGACAAGTTCACCACTGGAGGAGTGAAGAGCGTCTGCTGAATCAGGATTCTCCCGAATTCAGCTGAGCACACAGTGTTTAATTGAGAAAAAATAAGAAAATTCCTAAACAAAGTTTGTTTGCTAACATGGATTTAAGAAAAATGTAATATCAGTCACTTAAGCTATGTCTACACTACCGCCTGGATAGACGCTCCTGAGATCAATGCACAGAGGTCAATTTAGCGGATCTACTGCCAAATCGACTGCAGATCGCTCTCCAGTCGACCCTGGTACTCCATCCCAAACGAGAAAATTAAGGTAAGTTGACTGAAGAGTGTCAACCTAAGCTACGTCGACTCCAGCTACATTATTCACATACCTGGAGTTGCGTAACATAGGTCGACTTACCGCAGTAGAGTAGACATAGCCTTAGAGGGAGAGGTGGGGAGAATTACAAAAAGGACATAATTATTATTGTTATTTCTGTTTAATTGCAGATATATTTTAAGTCCACAAAATGGACCAGCAGAACCTCACCACTACAGTGACTGAATTTGTGCTCCTGGGACTCACCCAGAGTCCTGAGCTAGAGCATTTTTTCTTCATTGCCTTCTTCATAGTATATGTGACCACTTGGTTGGGAAATTTAACCATCATCATCACGGTGATCTCTGACCACCACCTCCACACCCCTATGTACTTCCTGCTGGCAAACCTGGCTTTCCTAGATGTCAGTGACTCATCGGTCAATACTCCCAGATTGCTGTTGTGTCTCCTCTCCCAGTGTAAAACCATCTCATTCAATGACTGTCTCCTCCAGATCTTCTTCTTCCACTTCATAGGGGGTGCAATGGTATTTTTCCTTGTGGGGATGGCAGTCGATCGGTATGTGGCCATCTATAAACCACTGAGATACTTGATTATCATGAATCGGAGTGTGTGCGTGGGGATAGTGGCACTGGCGTGGCTGGGTGGATTTGCTCACTCTGCTGTTCAGATTGGATTGCTCCTCCAGCTACCATTCTGTGGGCCGAACGTCCTGGACAATTTTTACTGTGATGTCCCACAGGTCATCAAACTGGCCTGCACTGACACCCATGTGATCGAGCTGCAGATGGTCTTCAATAGTGGAGTGCTCCTTCTAATTGTATTCATAATTCTGCTCATTTCCTACATCATCATCTTAGTCCAGATCAGGTCACATGTCACGGACGGGAAGCGCAAGGCTCTGTCAACCTGTGGAACCCAGATTACCGTGGTGTGTTTAATATTCATACCCACCATCTTCATCTATGCTCGGCCCTTCAAGAAGTTTGCCCTGGACAAAGTGGTGTCTGTCATTTACACAGTAATCACTCCAATGCTGAACTCAATGATCTACACGTTGAGAAATGCTGAGATGAAAAAGGCCATCAAGAGACTGATGAGCAGATTCCTGTTCTCATGCAGGAAACTAAAAACATAATTTATTTTTGAATGATCATTTCTCTTAGAAACTAGACCATATCAGAGAGGGGATGAATACGCCACATGAATTGTGTATCCTATCGAACGGGATCACATCCTGCAAACTTGTGAAATATTATGTGCATAAATAAGTTACGGAACAAGGGCCATAATCTCCACTGAAATCCATGAAGCCAGTTGGTGCAAATCAGCATAGCTCCATTGGAGTAAATAGAACATATCCCCAGCTGGTGTAAATCAATGTACAGTAGTTGCTGTGATGAAGTGGGGTTTTTTCCACCTTGTTATGTTGCATGTGAGTCGTACTGTCTTACACTAATACTGTGTGTACCTCAGTTTCCCTGTGTACTGCACCAATGTCTAGGTGGTGGGAATTGGGTGTGTGACTTTTGCTGAGGCCCTCAGGGCAGGTGAAGCTTCCCATCTGTCTGCACGTAGGCAATGGTCGGTGCCCTTCGTAACCTGACATCCAGGAGGGGGATGAGACCAGGTGACATTTCCCCGGGAAGCAGGACAAAGCCCCAGGGAGGAGCAACAGGCATGCTGGAGGCCAGGCAGTGGGGTCCAGGGCAGTCTGCAGTGTGGGACTGGAAGAGGGGGAGTCCAGGGCATCTGGCCCAGGACTCCCCAAGATGGACTTGTCTGAAAGTCACTGATTTCTGTGCTAACAAGTTCTGTTCTACGATGTGTACCTCTCGACTAATAAACCTTCCATTTTACAATGCTGGTTGAGTCACAGCTCACTGCAGAGTTGGGGTGCAGGGCCCTCTAGCTTTCCTAGGAGCCCCACCCAAGTGGACTCGCTGTGGGAAGCGCACGGTGTGGAAAGGGATGCTGAATGCTCTGAGGTCAGATCCAGGAAGTTCGAAGCTGTGTAAACTTCTTGTCCTGGCAACAGTTTTCTCAGAGAGAGGAGGCATGCTCCTCCAGAGTCCTGACTGGCTTCATACAGAGTAGTTCCAGAGCATTGGCCCGGTGACTCCATGACAGTTGCATTGGAGCCAGTAGACCATAGCCCCAGCTGTAAACCTGCATAGCTCCACTGGAGTCAATGGGTCAGATCCCCAGCTGATGCAATTCAGTGTGCTCTCTGAATATTTTCCAACAATGGAGGATTCCTGATGTAAAGGTGTATTTATAAATAAAGCTGGACAATCTTTCTTTTTTAGTTGAAAAGGTTTTTGTTAATGTGTTTTTCTTTTAATTGACAATTGGTAAATAAAAATTTTCATACTTTTCCAGATTCTCAGAGAAAAAAAAGAAAAAAAATGAAAAAAATCTTCTCTCATTTACTTCTTCTTTAGGTTTTATTTCCCCCCCATTTTTCTCCTTCTGTACTGCCCTTTTCCTTAGAAAAAGAGGAGAAAGTAAAAAAAGAGAAAATGGGGAGAGAAGTAGGAGAAAAAAGGAAAACTGACAAAAACAAAACCTAATAGTTTTAGATAAAAGTGTCATTAATACTACTACCACAAATAACTACTTTCCAAAATTTTTGCAATGAAATGTTTTTGAAATTGTTCAGTAATTTTCTGAAATTTTTTTGTTTTCCAATCAGCTCAAAATGTATAACTTTAAGTAGTTAAAATGCAGCTCCACTGTAAAATCTAATTAACTAACAAAAGACCCCTCCGTAATCCACAGATCTGCAATCCAGGGGTATCAGAGTTGGATTGTCAGGGTCAAAATAATTTTGAATTTTCACCCCTGCTAGCCCTGCAGAGCCAACAGAGCTCTGGGATGGTGGCTGGATGCTATTTCCAGCTGAAATAACAAAAGAATTATTAATTAACTTCCAGCCTATGAAACCTGTGAAAAACCACTGACTCATCAGGGATGCCCATGGCTGGAGATGGGACATTTGAGGGCATGAGATGGGCTCTGAGGTTGCACTGAGCATTCTCCCTCTTAGGTGATTGGCTGGCAGGTTCAAATATTGTTGGGGTCTAACAGATGGCCATATGTGGGGTCAGAAAGGAGTTTTCCCCCAGTTGAGATTGGCAGTGGGAGTTGGGGATTTTTCGCCTTCCTCTGTAGCATTGGGTGCTGGTCACTCACCAGGATTATCTGGGTGTATCTCAGTCATTGTCCTGACATTGCGGAGACCTCAGGCACTGGTGCACCCCATCCCTCCTATTCTCTGCCTGTGGCACATAACAGCCTAGTCTCCTGTGGGCCGCAATACTTAGGTCCAATTTCTGTTGCTGGGTTTAGTGTGAGGGCGCTGAGTAATGTTAGCAGCCTGTGCTACACAGGGGGTCAGACTAGATGATATAGCAAACAAAATGTGTTTGAATGCAGCCAAATGCAAAGGTATTCATCAAGGAACAAGGAATGAAGAGCTAAAGGGCTCCTTAATCTAGGGGAGGAAGGCAGAACAGGAACCAGTGGCTGGCAGCTGAAGTCAGACAAATGTAATTTAGACACAAATTTTTAACATTAGCCATTGCAACAAGCTACCAAGGCAAGTGGGGGGTTCTCCATCTCTAGATGCCTTCAAATCCAGATGGGATGCCCTTCTAGAAGATGCTGTGGGGCATGGGGGCCCTTGAGTCCCCACCAGACCACAGTTTGGGTTGCTTCCCTTTTCTAGCACTCACCGACTCCTTCCCCTGCTTGGGGCATACCAGAGTCTCTCTCTCAAAAAAAAAACAAAAAACAGTGCAGGGAAGATCAAAGTAAATAAAGGGAAAAGGGGGCTTAGTCTCTTGGTCACCCCTTTGGGGCCCAGCTTGTCTGTAGGCATTTTAGTGTCCTGCTAAGAATTAGAGTCCATCCTTAGACCCTCACCCCACCTTTTTGTAACGTTCATTCTGTATCAGGGACAGACAGTGTCAAGGGCAGCTGGGTCCATGACTCACTCTCTCTTTGCTGATCTGCCCCTGTAGCTAGATTTCTCCCAGCCATCTTCTCCTACTTGCCATCCCTTCCTGTGGCAGGTTTTCCCTTTTTGAATCCAGTCTCCCACGCCCCTGTCTAACCCACTGTACCTCACTCTCCTCTCAGATTTGGGGATATAGTGCAGGAATCTGTACATAGACTTCTCTTGTTATAACTCACTAGACCCACTCCCCAGAGAAAGAAGCAGGAGCTACTAATTGCCCTCTGTACATTTCTTAAACAAGCACCTAAGTGACAAAGGGATCTAAGTCCCATTGACTTTTAATGAGACTTAGGCACTTTGGAAAACATTACCCAAGTGTTCTGATCACTCACTCCCACTTCACTCTCAGAGCCAAGGAAAGAAATAAGGGGTTCTGACTACCACTCTCCTTCTCAAAACACTTCATCATGTTCCTCTCCCAGGTAGAGAAGGATAACCCAGGACTCCTGGGTTTTTCTCTCTCTCAGGAGTCAAGCAAACATCCAACTTTTCTCTGAGTCTCACATGCTTTCCAGCAACTCAATGCTCAGTTAACTCCACACAAAGAAAACACTTGCAAAATTTAAATCCAAAAACTGAAACTTCTGTGAACTTTTTCATAATCCCACTTGGAATCAAAGTGACATGTGCATAATGCCCAAATTCCGAATGTAGCATCTTTCTTGGCCATGTCTAGTGAAACTCTGGTGGATTCCAGGGGATTTTTCATCCTAATACCAGTGTTAGTGGAAGGGTCAGAAATGACATAATGAGATGACTTCTGGGGCTAATTCCTCTTTCAGCCTAGTGTGACAGTCTGTATCCCTATGTTCACCCTTTTTACAAAACTATAATGGATTTTGTACAAAGTACATCTTGTGAGGTATCTTTTGAAAACTCATAATGTGCTGATCATTATTGTCATGGTAAAATATGTGTGGCAACATTGTAGGTAAAGTTATAAGATTCTACTGTATAACATTATTGAGGCATATTCCAAGCAGGCACAAACCAGTCTCTCAAAGACAAAAGACAAACTGATGCCTCAGCCAGGTGTCAATGAAATCAAATGGACTATCACGTGGTTAAGTGGCCATTCTTTGGCAGGAAAAAGGATGTGAGTGAGGAATTTACATATCGGCAAAGAAACAGGTGGAAGTTCCCATCCCACAGACTTTCTGTCTCCTGAACCCCCGCTGGAGAATTTTCTCAAAAAGGAGGGAAAAAATACAAAAATGGGGAACAGATGCCCCAAATGTTCTCTCCCTTCATCTCTATTCATGTCAGCCAGAACACTTGAAGAACAAAGGAAACAGCTTGGGACCGGTGGAAAGATTCAGCCAGTAAGGTTGCTAGGACATGTGGTGAGAGAGACTTGCACTTTGGATTCACGGAGCTTTTTTAAGGCTGCTAAGTTGACAATGCTGCCGGTGCTACTGTTCTTGGAGCTCTGGTGTTAGGTGCACAGAGAGTGAAGCGTGCTGATTCAGCAGACCTCCATGTTATGGATAAAGAAAGACCACAGGCTCTGTAGAGTGGGGAGGGCACTTTGCCAGATTTATTGTCGACAAAGCACAGTATGAGGGCCTTATAGATACACTTAACACATGTATGTCCGTGAGAATGGTACTGCTACAATCAGGACACCAGAATCCTGTCCCCCTGCACCTGCCCAAACATGCCCCTCCTATGACTTCTCTTTTTATACATAGAATCATAGGACTGGAAGGGACCTCAGGAGGTCATCTAGTCCAGTCCCCTGCATTCATGGCAGGACTAAGTATTATCTAGACCATCGCCGATAGGTGTTTGTCTAACCTACTCTTAAAAACCTCCAATGACAGAGATTCCACAACCTCCCTCCTTGATACAAACAAGCAATGTGTCACACTCCAGATGTTGTTAGTTACCATCCTCATTCGCATATGTGCCAGTTTGACTAAAACATCCTTATCCATTATCCTGTTATCCCCTCCTTATCATTTGAGGTGCCCATGTGTTCCTGTGCCATCTCTTAGGAATGCATTTATTAGTTATCTGAGAGTTATGGGTATTTTGGTACCATCCTCTCTGGTCAGGAATGTGCTTACTTGGTTTGATGACACCCAGTGTGTGCTACTACTTTGCTAAGTCCAGGC